CACCAGAACCCATGTGAAGACTAACCACAGTGACCTTATGCCCAATAGGTGAGTTAGAAATACACACATTAGTGATGTATCAATATGTCACTTCTGGTGTGTGGTTTGTTTATTTCTCTGTATTTGGCCCTGACTAAAAAAAGTTTGGACACCCCTGGTTTAGCTGAAAAATCGGCTGAATTTGATGTGCCGTCTCTCTTAAACAGTATTTGTTATAAAAGTGTTTTTTAAGAGCGGTTTTTCTGTTTCAAGTGAAACTAATTTTAAATACATGTATATTCAGGTTTATGACAACTCTGCTTGAACTAAATACCACAGTATGCCATTAGGATTGTAAAACAGGTTTAGAAAAGTGAGAAAAAACCAAATACTGTGAGTTTATTTTCTCGGCTGCTTCGATGTTAGTCACCTGTTCCATCTGGTGTACTTCGAACAAAGGTTGGGAGCATTTTGACTGTCGCCTCCTTGTGGGTGTCCTTCTTCAGGCCTCTTTCAATTTCCGCTCTCATGCGTTTCTTCACTTCTAACAGCTGCTTTTTGCTCAGCCTGAATTCTGCCAAAGTCTGCTGGATTTGGCGTGCCTGCTCTGTTAACCGGTAYGCCACTGCTGTCACCATGGCTGCACCTTTGCTGCTGCCACTTTCAGACAGCAGGAAGCGCACATCRGAGTCTGGAACCAAACGACGAACTGTCTTGTGCAGGCGGCGAGCATACCTGTTCAAAAAAAAAAAAAAGGGAGAGATATTTATGAGCAGGATCCAGTGTAACAATTTCCATCACTGTTTTACTTTACTAATCTAATTGGATGTTAAGATTGTTTCAACGWTGTGTTTTAAAAAGATGAACAGTGTGGTTGAAATTATGTTTTTAGCAGCCTATAAATCTGAATATTTTATGAAGGCCTGAATGGTGTGAAACAGAGAAAGACCAAATTGTTTTTGACCTGATTATTATTGTCCCCTGTCACCAAGGTGGGGGACATAGAAATGCTCTCCGTCCTTAACGAAGGACATCAGCAACAGTTGGCATTGAGTTGTTACCTCCGCCAAGAGCGAGGTAATGTTTTTGGTTGTGTCTGTCTGTCTGTCTGTCTGTC